GAGGCTGGCTGCCATGCTGCCTTCCCCTCTGTGCCCGCACCAGAAGGGGCAGGCAAGCGGGAGGGCTGCGAGGCCGCTCTGCATGACGCCACCGTGCCCCTCCCTCCTTCTAGAAGCTTCCCCTGGCCCAGGCGTCCCCTTGTAGGAGATTGTTCCATTTTAGGGCGGTGGCCCGTCTGCTTCTCCGTGTGACCCAGTGCCCATCACCTGGATCTCCTGGTACACAGTGGTCACGTTGGGTCCCTCTTAGCCTTTACCTGCCATTTTTCAGAATTCTCCCCGAGACACGTCCTTTCCTCCTTTCCACAGCCCTATCTCGTGATGATTCTTTACTCAGCAGATGAGGGGACGGGGCTCAGAGAAGGTGTTAAACCTTAATTAGGAAATGCAGAGCAGGACCTCAACCACGTGCCTTTGAAGCCTAATTAGAGAGCTGAGAAATGCGAAAACCAGGTGTAGCCATTTTCTCCAAGGGGTGGGGGCCGTTCCTCCCTTTGGTGGTGAGACTGCCTCAGGGTTAGCTTTGGAAACTTACTGGTTGAATGAAGTAAGGAGCACAGGGATGGGCTCAAAAAGGTTTCTTCGCCTCCTGTAGTAGTCTTTCTTCCAAACCAGTAACATCTCTAAGGAATAAAACTAGCTCTGTCAAAGTAAATTAAAATGGGGCTAGGGCTGTGTCTCAGTTGTAGAGTGCTGTCCTAGCATATGAGAGGCCCCAAGTTCAATTCCCAGAACCACCAAAAAACCAAAAGCTAAATCACAAATAAAAAAAAAAAAAACTAAATCAAAATGGATACGATACTTGAATCTCTGAGCAGAAAAAAAGTTAAGCTTAAGTGACCTCAGTCTTGTTTGATTTACAAACATAAGCAAAACGTGAACTATTGTAAATGCTCATATTAAAGAAAATTGGCTGAAGGGTATAGCTCAGTGGTAGAGTGCTTTCCTAGCATGCTTGAGGCCCTGGGTTTAATTCCCAGCACCACAAAATAGAGATTCCAGTTACATCTCCTAATGCCAAGGTATTGTGTGTAATTGTTCTCCCTTAACAATCTTGGCCAGAGCTCATTTCCTTCAGAGTCAAACTCAAGTCTGTAGGCAGAACCTATACAAACAAGAGCTGCTCTCTTATAGCACTACTTTCAGTGCATCTCTCCAGAGATGCCCTGTGGGGACTCAAGCCTCTTAGGTGTTATTTCATTATTGTCTTAAGTCTTTGGATAGTTCATTCACTTCCTAAATCCCTTGTTCTCAATTGTGAAATCTGAAAAGTTTTGAAAACCAATTTTCCCCTCTAACTTACTTGGTAGTAAAATCTGAAGTGAGGCCATTTATTCCTCCAAATAGTACATGTTTTTGTTGCAGATATGTTGAGTCTCATTGTTCAAAACAACCCCACTGTTTACTGTGGGTAGTGAGTATGGTACCAAGGTATGGTATTGGTACTACCTATATTCACACACACACACACACACACGAAGTCCACAACTTACCTGATCTCAGAGGGTTTGTATAAAAGATTACAAGCCAGTAATCTAATATCACCTGGTAAATGCTTTCCTCTTATGATTCAGGTGAAGTAGGAAAGAAGGAAACAGTGTTGTGGAAGTGGGCAGATCTGAAAAGAAAACTAAGAGACCTCTTCCACCTCATTTGTTTGCTTTAGAATTATGCAAGAGAGAGAGAGAGATCCTTAATCAAACAGGAAGTTTTTTGAATGTAGAGATCATATTTTACATTTCTCCACAAAGCTGTATAAATGGTAGGTTCTTAAGAAGTGTTTGTTGATTGATTTGAAAATATTTGCTCAAATTCTAGAATTTTGACAATTCAAGAGCTAGATTTTACTTTTAAAATGTCATGCTTACAGTTTAAAGCTGTAGAATCACTGCAGGTTTATCTCAAAGTGGAATAATTCAGTCATTTGGTCATTCACTCATTACATGTTTCTTGTGTACCTGCCATTGCTAGGTACCATTAGGCACTGGATTACAGTGTAAGATAGTCCCTGTCCTCAAGTGGCTTCTAGTCTAGTGGTGAGGAAAAGCAATGAGCAAATAACAAATAGATAAGTAGCAGTCCACTAAGGAAATTAACCTGGTTCTGAGTGAGATGATGTGACCTAAGTAGGTAGTGAGGTCAGTGAATGTTTCTCAGAGGAGATGACAGATTTGTGACATGAAATACTTCTTCCCTCTATTTCTCAATATTATAGTGATATGGGTAGCCAGACAACTAAGATTCAACTGTAGAAATTTACCTTCTTGCCACTAATTTTGTCTCAGATGTATCACTATATTTCATGTCATACTTAATGACAGGGATGCATTCTGAGAATTGCACCATTTGGTAATTTTGACATTGCACAAATATTAGAGAGTGTACTTATACAAACTAATATATGATGTCACTAGGTAATACAATCTTGTGGGATATGCAGTCCATTATTGACTGAAACATTCGTTATGCTGCATGTGACTTTAATTACAATCTCAAGGTTATTTGATGGTATGAGTAAACTGAGCATTTGTCTACAGTTGGGTTTCTAAAACATAATAAACTGATATAATTTACAGCTAACACCAGTTGAATTCCTTGTTAGTTTGAAAAGATATCAATGGTAGAATAATAGCTTATATATTCTGTTTATATCACAAAGTAAAATTCACGTTACTGTACATTAATAAGTGATACTAATTTACTTATCCAGAATTTTCCTTGTGGCTTTTTTTTTTTTTTTTGGTGTTATTGGATTTGAACTCAAGGCCTCATGCTTGCTTGGCAGGTGCTCTACCACTTGAGCCATTCCACCAGCTGTTGTGGCTTTTTTAATGGTTGGGAGTGTATTTAATTTTGGTATAGTGCCAAGCACATCCATTTTAAACTATTTTGAAGTAGAAGGCTATTATTTTGATATTTATCTGTGCATATAATTTAAGAAAACACTTCAAAAATGTAAGAATGCAGGTTAGAAAATAGAGGAAACATCTAAAAATTAGGATTGTCTCTTCAAAATATAGCTAGGTAACTACAAAAATGGTTTTAACTACTGTTGTTCAATTGCAGCAAGTTATTCTAACAAGGTTTTTAAAAATATACTTGTGAAGAAAGAGATCAATATTTGTTGCTCTAAGCCAATGTCATAGTGCATCTCTGCATTGAGTGAGTTTAGTAGAGAGGAAAAAAAGTAGAGTAGAAATTGAAAATTTTAATAGCTATTGAAACATTATAAATCAGGTTTTGCTGCAGGAGTCAGGTAAAAATGCTTGTACATGAAGCACAAACGAGAAAATCAGAAAATTGTGAAAACACACCTTTTCTTCCTGAGAATTCTCAGGTAGTCTCTTCTGAGAAATCTTAATTAAATGGATACATTTTCTGTTTTGCTTATTTGAGGGTGTATTGTGTTTTTACAAAAAAAGGTTAATTATCTCTTACTTAAAAAAGAAACTATACCTCATTTAGGATGCATCTGAAAATTTATGTATTCCTTCAGTACACAAATTAATCAGGCCTGAGCTAGTAGCTGAGAAGGTCAAGGAAGGGAATTAAAATGAAAAATAGCAAACATTCGTTATGGATTTTATCATTTTTTCTTTTGTATGTGTGCAGTTTCTCTAGTAAAATCTGATTATAGTTCATCTAGGCTTGGTTGGGTCTGGATGCTCGTCAGGGCTTGAAATCAGTTTGGCACACTGCCTTGGTAGTTGTCAGCGGTGAATCACTAGAGAAATTGTAAACTAACTGATTCACCTAATGCAGAATAGTGAAAACGAGGAGAGGAAAATGTTTCATGTAAATTGTGAGTTGGTAATTCACAAGCATGTAAAGTCTTAGGGTTGCCTACCTCTTTCAAGTTTTAATGTATTTTTCTATCAATCTTAATGGGCTTCTCTTTGTATGTACTTGTTTTGAGGTCTGTCAGTGCTGTCAGTGCTGATCACTCCCGATTTTAGGGAAATCCTGAGACTATTTGACTCTCACATTGACACTGTTTAATCCTAATGCATACTTCTTTTTCTAAAGGCAAGGAAAGAAAGTAATTTAACCTTTTCTTCTAGTTTACTAGACTTATCTACACTAAAATACTGATTTTAGGGTACCAGGAGTTAGCTGTGGAGTCCTCTAGGATCAAAGTATTTGTCTTACGTGTTGACCCTCTAGAATAACAAGAAAGCAGATCTTATTTAGATTGTATTGTAATGACTTGTAATTCTAAAAAGAATGTAGTCATAAGGTCACTAGGAGATTATAAAACTCAGTTTTCATCACCATTTTAATTGCTTTCAGGACACAATATTTTTATACATGTCAGCATATGTTAAACAACAGATATCAGAGTGCAAATGCCCTTGAAAATGCAAATTTGTCTACTATCCACATAATACTTTATAATCATTGTTTTTCTGGCCAAAGAGGTTGATGGTATTTTCTGCAAGAACTTTTAGGACTAGAAAGACCACCTATATTTCTTCAAATAATATGGGCCAATCTCTTATGAGAGCTTTTACTGTACTTATCCTAGGAACATTTATGTGGTATCCTCCATCCTCACATCTGGCTGATGTGAGAGGCGGATTTAGAAACTAAGCCGGGTGCCAGTGGCTCACACCTGTAATCCTAGCTACTCAGGAGGGAGAGATCAGGAGGATCACGGTTTGAAGCCAGCCCTGGCAAATAGTCTGTGAGACCCTATCTCAGACCCTTCACAAAAAAGGGCTGGTGGAGTGGCTCAAGGTGGAGGCCCTGAGTTCAAGTCCCAGTACTGCCAAAAAAGAAAAAAGAAACTAAACCTGGATTTTTCAGTCTGCCTTGGTCTTCTGCAATTTACACATTGTTTTGTACTTTACTTGCAGGAAATCGATACTTTATCAACACAGATTAATCATTTTATTTGGGAGCTACAGAACTGGGGACCAATTGCCTGTCAAGAGTTTTATAAACCAGTCATTCCTTTCCATTTCTCTCAGCCTGCATTTCACTTTAAACTTGCTCTACGTATGGCATTCAGGAGGCAAGTAAAAAACTTTGTGAAAAATTACTCAGATGCTGAAATAAAAGTCAGGGAAGCAACTTCTAATGACCCTTGGGGTCCCTCTAGTTCTCTGATGCTAGTTATCAGTGACTTGACTTTCAACACGGTATCACTCTCAGAGATTATGAATATGCTATGGCAGAGACTCAGTGACCATGGGAAGAACTGGCGCCATGTGTATAAATCCCTTACCCTAATGGATTATCTCATCAAGAATGGATCAAAGAAAGTTATTCAGCATTGCAGAGAGGGCTTCTGTAACCTTCAAATGCTAAAAGATTTTCAACATATAGATGAAGCTGGAAAAGACCAAGGTAACAATTAAGTTTATACAGTTGCCAGTGAAGATAGACATTTATTTAGTCTGGTGGCGTGGCTCCAGTGGTAGAGTGTGCCTGCCTAGCAAGTGCAAGAACCCTGCCCCCCCCAAAAAAAAGATTAGGAGTTTAGGGTGGGTCATTTGAAACCAGGAATGGGGGTTAGAGGTTCTAATTGAATCCTCTTTGTTAACTTTTCAGTGCCTTGAAGAACATACTTGGTTTTTTTTTTGTTGTTTTGTGGTTCTGAGGATTAAACCCAGAGCCTTGCGCTTGCTCATGAACTATGACCTCCACCTTAAAAAATATTCTTTGATATTACTGGGGATGGAAACCAGGGCCTCACGCTTAGCAAATGCTCTACCACTTGAACCTTGCCCCCAATCCTTTTTTTTTTTTTGCTTTTATTTTGTTTTTCAGATAGGGTATTGTACTTTTTAAAAAAAATAATTTTGCCATTTTATCTTTTAGCATATATTAATTGTACAAAGACGTTTCATTGTAATATCTCCATACCCTATGCATATAATGTACTTTGTGCCCTGTCCTGGGTCTTGCTTTTGTCTAGCCTGACTTTGGACCTTGATCCTCCTACCTCTGCCTCCAAAGTATCTGGAACCACAGCCGTGCACCACCACACCAGCTTGTTTTTGAGATAGAGTCTTGCTAACTTTTTGCCTGGGCCGGCCTCAAACTATGATCCTCCTATCTCCACTTCTCAAGTAGTTGGTGGTGTTGCTGCACCACACCCAGCCCTTTATTTTGGTTTTGAGATAGGGTCTTGCTAACTTTTCCCAGGCTTTCCTGGAACTCATTTGCCTGCTTCTGCCTCCTGAGTAGCTAGTATTACAGACAGATATCACTATGCCAGGGTAATACATTTGCTCTCAAAAGGATGTTTAACATGCTAAGGTTATTGATAAAATGATACCTCAGAAAGTGAGTAAAGTGAATAAAATGGGCATGTCAACTTGGCATAATAATGTCACTGTAATTCATAATTATGGTTAGATTGGAATTTAGTCATAAATAAAGGTCTAAAGACTATGCTATCTTCAAAGAATAGATAGAAATAGTCACTTGAATATGGAAATTTAGGTGGTAAAATAATTCTAAAATACTGACTAATTCTAGAATACTAACATGATTCAGTAGTGCCAGATATTCTACAATGGCAGAAGAATCAGCACTTTTCATCTAATACAAAATTACAGCTGGTGTTTAAAGTCAATAGTCTTATAAATCATGAGAAGACGATAGCATTTAGTGCAATCTCTGTGGTAAGTACATTTTTAAAGTAGGTCTTTTTTAAGGGCAGTTTTAGGTTTCCAGAAAAATTATGCAGAAGGTACAGAAGGTATGTGGTTCCTGTTATTAACATCTTGCATTAGTGTGGTACATTAATTAAAATTGGAGAGCCAATGTCATTATTGTTAACTAAAGTTTATATTTGGTATTGTAATTTTTCTTGTGGCATACAATTCTATGGGTTTTGAAAAATGCATAATGGTAGTGCTGGAGGTGTGACTCAAGTGGTAGAGTGCCTGCCTAGCAAGTCTGAGGCCCTGAGTGCAAACCCCAGTGCTCCAAAAGAATGTACATAACCTTTAAAAATGCTTGATGGTATTATGTTTTTGTTGTTGCTATTGACCTGAAATAGTGTCTCAACTATAGAAAAATATATTGAGCATATTATTAAAAATGTAATTAACATACTATTTAAAAATAAATTTATTCTGTATTTTCCATTTTTTGGACTCCTTTATTAGTGAACATGTTAAAGAATTTAATTATATGACAGGGATTTGTTTACTCTTCACAATAGCTCTTTGAGGTAGGTAATGTTGGCCCCATTTTACTGGTGAGGAAACCAAGGTGCAAACAAGTTGAGTAACTTGTTCACACAGCTAGTTAGTGGCAGAACTAAGATTGCAATCTAAGGATTTGGGCTTCAGATTTTTTTTTTTTTTGAGACAGGATCTCACTGTGTTCCTCAGGCTGTCCTTAACTCCCACCTTAGCCTCTTGATTACTGGGATTGTAGGCATGAGCCACCACGCCTAGAGTCCATGTTTTGTTTTCTTTTGGCTGTATTGGGGTTTAAACTCATGGCTTCATTCTTGCTTGGCAGGCACTCTACTACTTCACTCCTTTCTTCTCTGGTTATTTTGGAAATAGGGTCTCCCTTTTTCGCTCAGATTGACCTGGACTGTGATCCTCCTCTTTTATGCTTCCTGCTGTAATTGGATGACAGGCATGTGCTACCACACCCAGTCTTTTTCTGTTGAGATGGGGTCTTGAGAACTTTTTAGCTCTGGTTGGACTGGAACAGCAATCTTCCTGATCTCAGCGTCCCAATTACAGAGGATTACAGATGTGAGCCACTGGCACTTGGCAGAATCCATGTTCTTAACAATAATATACCACTGGTTGTCATAGTTACAGGTCTGCATCTGCTGATTCAACTGTGGAAAGAAAATATTCTTGCCTGTACTGAATACATAGACTTTTTTTTTCTTATTGTTCCCCAACCCATACAGCATGATAACTATTTACCTGGCACTTCATTATACTAGGTATTATAAGCAATCTAGAGATGATTGAAAGCAAATGGGAGAAGCAAGGCACAGTGGCATGCATCTGTGATCCCAACTACTCAGGAGGTTAAAACAGGAGGATTTTGAGTTTGAGGTTAGCCTGGGCTGCACAGTAAAAACCTGTCTTCAAAATAAAATTAATTTAAAAAGTGAACAGAGATTGTACACAGTTTTTTGCAAATATGACACATTTTATATAAGGAGATTTGAGTATCCTCAGATTTTGCTTATCTGCAGGGGTCCTGAAGCCAATCCCCCTTGGAAACCATGGGATGACTATATTGTTGAAAGAATGATGTTATCCTAATCATTCTGTTTGCTTTTTCAGAACATGTGTCATGTTTCCAGACTTGACCAAACATTTAACCAGTTACATACAGGAAGATGGAAGAGCCTGAAAACTACACTAGTGCTGTTCACTAATCTGGGACAGAAACTGAGAAGTTTATACTGTTTGTTTATTTTATTTTATTTTTTGGCGGTCCTGGAGTTTGAACTTGGGGCCTCATGCTTGCTAGGCAGCTGCTCTACCACCTGAGACACTCCACTAGTCCAACTGTTTATTTTTTAAATGAAGTATTTTAGATTCACAGCAAAATGGAGAGGAGTATACAGAGTTTTCATAAGTCCCCTGCCCTCACACATGATAGCCTTTTCTCCTGTTAACATTCCCCATCAGAGTGGTACATTTGTGACAGCTGATGAACATATAGCAATGTCTCATTTTTACCCAAAGTCTATAGTTTACATTAAGGTTCACTCTTGGTGTTGTACATGCTGCAGTCTGACAGATATGTAATGATATGTATCCACATTATAGCTGCATACAGAGTAATTTCACTGTCCTAAGAAATCTTCTGCACCCAGCCTATTCATTCTTCCCTCCTCTCAACACCTGGCAACCACTTGTTTCCATATTTTGACTTTTCCAGAAAGTCACAGAATTGAATTCATAGATATGTATCCTTTTCAGATTGGCTTCTTTCATATGGTGATACACATTTAAAGTTCCTCTGGGTCTCTCTGTAGCTTTATATTGCATTTCTTTCTACTGCTACATAATTCTCTGTTGTCTGGATGGACCAGAGTTTATTCATTCACCTACTGCAGGACATCTTGGTTGCTTCTAAGTTTTTTGTTAGTTATTAATAAAGCTGCTATTATTGTCTAAGTTTTCAACTCCTTTGGGTAAATGCTAAGGAGTGTGGTTGCTATATTACATGGTAAAGAGTGTGTTTAATATTATAGGAAACTGCTAAACTTTTTTTTTTCCAGAGTGGCTGAATCATTTTGCAATGGAGAGTCCCTGTTGTTCCACATCCTCACCAGCATTAGGCAATGTTAATGTTCTGGATATTGGCCTTTATTTCCCCCTTAGGCTAACTCATCTTCACTAGCTGGGTCTTCCTATTTTATTTTTCTAATTAATTTTTTTATTAGTGTACAAAGGGTTTCACCATGGAATTTCCATACATGCATATATTATACTTTGATCAGATTAACCCCTCTATTGCTCTTTCTTTACCCCTCCCGCTTCCCTGTATTTTAAACAGATTTTACTGGGTTTTATTATGCCATTTTCATACATACACACAATGTTCTGAATTATCCACCCCCAGGATTCTCTTTCCCTTTCCCCTCCCACTCACCCCCCCAAAGAGTCCCACATTTATATTTATGGTGTATATGTACGTATGTGTGTGTGTGTATGTCTAGTTTCCACATGTGAGAGAAAACATGCTGTGTACTTGTCTTTAAGTCTGGCTTATTTTGCTTAACATGCTCTCCAGTTCCATCCATTTTCCTGCAAATGACATATTTTCATTCTTTTTGGCTGATTAATACTGCATTGTTTATATATTCCATATTTTCTATATCAGTTACCCATTTATCTGATTCACCTAGTCTGATTCCATAGCTTGGCTATTGTGAATAGTGCTTCAGTAAACATGGGTGTGCAGGTGTCTATGGTATCCTGATTTCCCTTCCTTCAGATACATGCCCAGGAATGGTGTCACTGGCTCAAGTTAGAGGTGTATAATGGTTCCTTCCCCCTCACATTCTCACCAGTACTTATTGTTGTTTGTGTTCTTTTTTTTTCTTGCGGCACTGGAGTTTGGACTCATGCTTGCTAGACAGGTGCTCTTACCCCTTGAGCCACTCTGCCAGCTATTGTTTGTGTTCATGATCGCCATTCTGACTGGGGTGAGATGAAATCTCAATGTCATTTTTTAATTTCCTTTATGGCCAGGGATGTTGAACATTTCTTCAAGTATTTATTGCAGTCTTTTTTTTTTTGGCAGTACTGGGGTTTGAACTTGGGGCCTTGTGTTTTTGCGAGGCAAGTGCTCTACCAAATGAGCCACACCCCAGCTGGATTTTGGTCACACTGAAAGATATA